CTCTTTCCCGTGGAGATTTTGGGAATTGAAGCCTCAAAACACCAAGCACAGAATCCAGAAACGCTCCTGGCAGCTCCCGGCGTCCCCCACCCTCCCGGCTGTGCCAGTGCCAGGCCTCAGCATCACCCACCTGGCGCTCCAGGATGCCAAGGAAAAGCCCTGCAGGGCGGGCAGGCTGAGGTAGGAGCGCTGGAATYCGCGTGCCCRTGCCAGGTGCCACCCACCYAMYCTYYYCTGKGACRAGGACATTCCCATCCTGACGCTCRKGCCAGGTGAAATTCTCATGCCAGGTGAAATTCTCATGCCAGGTACCCAGGTTTATCCCAGGTAAAGCTTCAAGCTGGCATCCAGGTGGTGGCCAGTGATATCCAGAGCCACTAGCCCATCTGCCAGGGTGCCAGACCCCAGGAATCAAGGCCGGCGTGGGAAAGCCGGGCTGGGAAAAGCCTCCTCGGAAAGCCTGGGCTCCCCGGAGCGCTCCGTGAGAAAGGGGCGATCTCAGGGTGGAAACGGCCGGCTGGACCCTGACATCATGGATTGACATCACCCAGGGACTCGGCCCGCAAACATCCTCCCCGGCCGGAGCTCAGGATGGAAACAAAAATTATTCCAGAGCCAGGATTGTTTGTTTTCTTGGGAAAGCGGCTCGAGGCTGGGGCTGAATCCAGCGGTTGCTCCCCGAATTCCCATCCCTGGGGCCGGGGGCAGAGCGGGGACGCGGAGTCAGCCCGGTTTTCCTGGGTTTATTTATCTGCTTCAAGAGGGAAGTTTTGCTGGATGTGGGTTTTGCAATAAGGGAGAACGAGGAAAACATCCTGGGATGATGGGGGAGGAAAACAAGGGTTCAGATAAAGGGTGAGGGAGACTCTGGTCATTCCTGGTCATTCCTGGATTCGGGAGGGTCCCAAAAGTGAAGGGAAAGGGGTTTTGGGGGATTGGTGGGGGCAGGGGAAGGAGTGGGGTCTGGATGCCGGTGTCACCCGGTGAGTCCCTGCAGAGGTCATGGGACACACAGAACACTTAAAATCCTAAAAMATAAAGTTCTGGGAATGTTGCAAGAGGACGGGGATGGGTGTGTAGGAACAGCAGGAGCAGCACGGGGTGAGCCAGGCCTGGGGGGGCCCCGTCCCGATTGCGGCATTCCCAGGGGACTGTGAGGGGACATTCTGGCTGTCCCTGCCTTGGCACACGGACACTCTGGGATCGCCCTGGGGGGCTCACCCTGCTCCCCAAGAGTTCTCCCACCCTCCCTGGGG